CCTAATGAAAATCCACTCAACTTTTGTGCAATATCTGGGTTATCTGAAGTTCTTTTCTGATGACTTTGATAACCAACCGCGTTCTCTTACTCGCTCATCAAAACTTTGTGTTATCGGTGCAAGATGAGGAAAATGACAGCAGAAGAATGCTGAATATGTTTCACCTATGCGCCCAAATTTGCAGCAACGTGCTCTTAAGAAGAACCGGCATTCACTGAGCAAGGTTCAGTGGAGGTCTGACATACCGAGAGGTTACTTCGCCTACCAAGTCACAGAGACCGGAAAGTCACACCCACAGCTTTCCTTATATGACGCATTGGGCTAGAGGTGTAGTCCGTCAATGCCGACTTTGTGCATCTGCATCGCACCCTCACTTCACAGTGACCTGGGTCATCCCCGGCCGCGTTACCCATGGAGATAATTGGCGACCCCGATTGTTGCGCGCCTTAACTGTCCCCCGTCGAGAACCCTTCGAAACCGACGGCTATCCAAGAGCCGTCGTTGAACAGAACCGAGCGCAAGAGAGGAAGTGGTCCAAATCGTGGCCGTGACTCTACATATATTCCTCGCGCCACTCGGAAGGAAATAATTCACGGGTCTGTCTCGAAAATCTATCGGCAGGGAAGGGGTGTTTCAACGACCCTATCCCTGGGCAGGTGATGTCGGTCGTTGTCTACCATCGATGTGTGCAAATACGTTGGAGAAACTAGCTGACGGCTAAAAACGCAAATGAAATAGCATCAGTTGGCCGTGCGGCAGTTATACGCAAGCAGCAAGTGGTAACAACTCATGCCTCGCAGATGGAGCATACCGTCAACTTTAACGCCCTCTTAGATTATGAGCCACAGGGATTATTACAAAGCAGGGCAGGTTCAAGAAGCCTGGAGTTAAACAGACTGCCCCACTGACATTAAGTTGCCCCTCTTCCCCTAGTTGGTTTTACGAATATTAATTTTCCGGTTCATTCTGCGTAGATATCCTTGAAGGAAGTGGCTCCAAGACCCCAGACGCAGGACTTTGTTGGCGGATACACCCTGATCTGATAAATGGAACTGGCTAATATACGTGAAGGTCTTGAGGGAGGGATAAAACTTGAAACTCACTCATTGGTAGTCTGTAAAGCTTTGTCGGAGACTGATACAGTCTTAACAGATTGTGACTCCTCGGCTGCTGCTGCTGCTGCTGCCGGCGTCTCAGTCTCCTTGGTTCGCCCACCCGAGACGATGCGCTGGCGAGAATTAAGCAGATCTTCACTCCCCGTAGTGCTAGACTCCTCTGCTGGAGCATAGATGGCCTCATCGGAAGGCATGCTATAGACGTCATCTTCTTTCTTCTTCTGCTCGGTTTCGTTGGGTTGCATTTGTCGTGACCGCCGTACCATTGGTTTGGGGGCTATAGCTGGCTTAGTTCGGAGTGGCTGAGGAGTTACTAAATTTTGCAAGATAAATCTCACGTTAGGAAGGAAGCCCTCATTCAGTGCACTAAATATCACTAGGAAAAGGGGCGGAAATAGGCGGAAAGAGGGAGATATATAAGAAAGGAACAAAAGGACGCGTATAAAATTGTGATGGTAAAGTAGGGTGGGAGAGGAAGAGAATAGAAGGAAAGGGAAAGCGAGTGAACAAAGACTATGGAGAAAGGGTGGGGGAAGGGTGAGACCAGACGCAACAAACGCCAAAGTACATCAAGCAGCAATACGAAAAGATAAATACGGAGCGCCAAGCGGCGGAAGAAGTAGGGAGGTAGACCAAAGTAATGTAGAAAATATATTTACGTGGACGAGGTAAGGTCATAGTGAAATAACAAGGAGAAGTGAAGAACCAACTGAGTAACTGGACAATTTTTGTTTGTCTTGAAGACAATGGTAGTTTTCAGAGGAAGCAGACATGATCGCTGGGACAAGAATGTTATTCGCCTTTCGGATTCCGTCACGGATCCAGCACCAGAGACAAGAGCAGAAAGGTGTCATGTATATGCAGGGAGTTGCAGTATTTATAGGATACAGTCACTATGCTACTGCATACCTATGACAATTAACGGCTCCCCCTTCTATCGGGGATAGTTGCCCGCGCGTGCGTTAGTGGCTTGGTGGCCGGCGTGCTGGTCGTGACTTGCTGAACTTTAATGACCCGTGGCAGACTTGGGCGTGATGACTACTCGACCATCTGGCTCCCTGGCGCTAGCGTTAGGAGACGCGTCCCCCGAGTAGCAAACTGCTTTGATCAAACTGAACCTCAGCATAGAATATGGGTAGGGCAAGTCAGTGCACTTATTTATAGACTGGGAGCTCGTAAATCATGGTTCAAGTAACTCGCGGCTCACACGATTGTCGCCTATCGTGAAAATGTCAGCCTTATCAAATTTGAATGCGTGGTCGGGTCTCGTCGAAGGAGCTGCGACTTCAAAATTGGCGTTATTTATCCGTACTGCTGTCACGTACTCCACAATTAGCGTCTTGAGAAGTCTCCCAGTTTCTCCGAAGTAGTTGCTTTGTTCGCAACTGCGCCAGATCATCTAGACAAGTAGAGATGCTTCTAACCATGGCAATGGGTCTTCTGGTTTCATTACCTGACGCTTTATGGTTGCTTCTGGTATGTGTGCGCAAAGGTAGTGGGAAACCATTAACTGTCGTAGAGGAGCATAGTGGCTGTATCCTATAAGTGCTGCACCTCCTTGCGTATGAAGTACCCGTTTCTGCTATTGTTTTTGATGATGGATCCGCGACGGAATCTAAAACGTCTGACTAATAAACTTCTCGACCTAACCATTTAATACGCTTCTTCTCACTTATTTCCTGGGACTCGCTTGTAGTGGTCATCTTATTCTGTGCAAATATTATCCCTATTGCCGTTGACCATGGAGATAGCAATGAAGAGGAGAAGTGCGATTGAGGTAATGTTCGGGCTCTTGTCCCTACTCAGTGGTTTATTGCGTTTTTTGTAGATGGAACCTAATCATAGGACATAATGTACATTTAATCTGGCTCTACAGCCCTTATAAACATGTGCAAGTCCGTAACTCAGACACTCCTGCTATAGTTAATGCATTCTTAGAAGCGGTTGGGACCATCTAAGGAAAAGCTTTTGAATTCGCTTAACTTGCTTTCTATTATAGTTTAGTCCTTTAAATATGCGGGCACACATATTCAGGTGCTTACGACTTTCAAAAAAAGAAAATGCTGCAGGAAAGAGCACCACTTAAATAGCGTAAAAGACATCTACAGTTGAAATGATCAAATAGGGGTACCTATTAGAAACAGGTTATTAAGGGAAAGATAGACTAACGCCTTCGATTTTCCTGTTGGTAACAAGCTAGTTAGGAAATGTATGTTTACAAAAGAAAAATAGAAAAAAAAACTTCAAACGCATACTTGCAGACGAAAAGCGCGCAGCTGTTAGTTAACCGAAATAGTAATACAACACGACTACTCGCTTAACACGAGTAGTATTATAAATACGTGTAAGTACTTGGTGACTTGTGCGTTATAAAGGAGTCCTCTGAGGTGTTGGAATTGCTCTCCAATGCTTTGCTTCCTCCACTGCCACTACCTCCTCCAGCACCACCGGCGCTGTCAAGTGGACTCGGGGAGTCCCCCTTCTCCCTAGCTTTGTTGGGTACCCGCGACCTGGCCTCAGCATTGTGCCTGGCAAAGTCGCTCCAGTCCGGTGAGCTAGTCTCCTCCTCCTCTTCTTCCTCTTTACCGACCTCAGCTATGCCAGCCGGTTTCGGTTTTTGCCATCCGTTCTGTCCTTGTTTTTGGTGAGTACTTGAGTCACTTGACATTCTATCCGTTCTCTCGGAGTCGGTGTTATTCTGCTGCCTTCGCATATTCTACATTGAACAGAGAGGAAGAACGGTTTGGAGTAAAAATATGGTCTGGACAATACATTATTTAGCGTTACCATGCCACTAATTTGTCAAATTATTCGCCAAGAATCACTTTCATCTTACGGACATTATTTACCATAAATGTCTACTTAGTACATTTAAGTAGAAAAGTTTGGATCGTGGTTATTATTGGAGCACGCTGACTTGTTTTTGAAATTGGGCCACCATACAAGTCATCCCTACCGATTTTTCTGCTTATGCATTTGCACAATTCTCCTCCCCCCACGGTTCCATCAGATTTCGTAAGATGGGGGTAAAACATCCGCACTTTATACAGTTAACTTAAAAATAGGAAGGAACTAATTGACATTTAGGAAAGGAAAGGAAAACACCATTACTGTTAACACGAATATAATAAATCATTCAAAAATACCCCCTTAATAGATTAAATTCGTCTACTGAAAGCCGCATACGTTGAAGCACAACTTAGCTGTGCAATTCAGCCCTGAAAATATTTAATATACTTTCGAATTGGCTGACTTACAAATTGCTGTAGCTGACTCTTGGTAACGGGTAGTTCCACCCCAACTTTCTTCAAGTTCTCAGTTTTCCGTTTAGCACTATCGACGTGGTCTGGGTTCAGTAGCGATTCCACTGAGCCCTCTTGCCTCCAGACATGATCACTTCCTTCTTCTGAAATATCATCAGTGGATGGCTCCGACTCCTGCCTTGGAGCTCTTTGTGGGCCGCTGTAGACAGCACCTGGACGCGAAGACAGCATTTCCAAGCTCTTGTGTCTGGAAACCTTGGAAAAATGCAACAAAGGATGCTGCTGCTGAAAAATTGGAGTAAAAACATTTCCATCAAGTTTATTGCCTGTGAACGCTAAGTTGCTCGTCAACTTTAGAAAAATATCCTTAAAGAAGTACCGTATACATTTTAGTGGGTGTAGTTATGTTTATTTGCTGTACAGAATCCATTAGTCGCTTTGAATTTTTATTTCAACATTACATCGCCCAACATGGAAATCTTTAGCGTCCTGCGGTTACTTTTAGTTTTATTAATTTTAGGTTAGTTTTTAGTTTGTTATTTAATTCATTAGTTTCATTTTATTTTTAGCTTTTTTCAGTTAGTTTTGTTTAGTTTACTTTAAATAGGTTAAGGTTACTTTTTGTTTGTTTAACTTAGTTTTAATTTTTCTAGCGACATGTGGTTGCTTCTCGGTTTATCTTACTACAAGGTCTGGCCAAATGTATTAGGGGCTATTGCGAGTTCAAAAAATGGGAAAAAGCCTATCTTTCGTGGTGTAACTTTAATCTCTAAAAGCTGATATAGAATGGATATAGGATTTTATCAAATTTGCAGGTGCTTTTCCGCACTGCTTGCTTTCTACTGGTTGTTTTTCTCATTTTAATTATCACACGCCAAAAATTAGGTTATTTAAATAATTATTCCTATTGGTTTCTACTTTGTTACGCTTTAATTTTCTGTTTACTTTTTCTTTCTCGTGATATGACCCAATAGGGTAACCAACTTTACTTTTGCCATATCTCCTAATGAAAAAGGGGGTTTCAGAACCTTATACTGCGTATAGATGTGCATACCGACTGTGCGCCCTGTTGTTTAAAGCGCCTTGGCTGCGAACCGCCTTTGGGTAGTATCCGAGATCCAAAACGTGGTCCACTGTCTTCAGAGTCGTCACTGTCGTCTTCATCGCTGACATCGTAGTCTAAGCGATCGCTTGCAAGATTTAGACATGGTGTGGAGCGGGTCATAG